GTCTATGGGGGGGGAGGGAGGGGGGTCCCACGCGCACGGTCTGGTTGGCTGGCAGGGGCTCCTCTCGGCCGGCTCCCTCCTTTCCTCCATGGCTTGTGCAGAATTCAGCTAGGTTGTTGGCTGCACCTCACTCTGCACCCACGTACTGTGCCCTGCTCTTGGAATTGCAGGCAAGGCAAAGTACGACCCCAAACGCGGCTCGCTGGTTTGGAAGATCAAGCGTTTTGCGGGGGATGCAGAGCAGTCGCTGAGCGCAAGCGTCGAGCAGATCGCCACGACGCGCGAGAAGAAGGCGTGGAGCCGGCCGCCCATGGGCATGTCATTCCAGGTGGGTGGGTGGGCGATGGGGTTTTGTACAGAGAATGGGATGGGGCAGCACTGGTGGGGAGTGAGTCTACTGGACCGCGGGGGGTGGGGGGAGGGGTGACGGGGTATGTCTAGCCCTGAATTCTTGCTTGGCACCCACTCCCCACAATAACATCCCTTCCCCTATCCCCATGCAGATCCCGATGCACTCTGCCAGCGGCGTGCGGGTGCAGTACCTCAAGGTGTGGGAGAAGTCGAGCTACAAGGTGGACAAGTGGGTGCGCAAGCTGTGCAAGTCAGGAGACTACCACACCAGGTTCTGAGCCTGGAGGCAACTGTGACGGGGATGGAGCAGGCTGAAGTACTCCTTCTACCTGATAGTCACGCGACAAGGCCTTTCCACTCTCGCTGTAATCGAGAGGCGTGCAATTTAGGAGAGGGGCTTTGGTAGAGTCGTGAATTGGGCAGGACAAGGTCAGAATATGCTCCAGCCCAGGTCGTGGTTGTTGACACAAACGGGAGACAGGCAAGATTGGTGGCCCCCACTGATTTCCTTGAGAACAATAAGGGTATTGAATCCTCGCACGCAGTTGCAGATCTTTACATGTTCTCGTCATGGCCGTGCCCACTGAACTGGGAAGCTGCCTCGAGTGGTTTACAGTTGCCCACAACACTTGCCAGCTACTCTGGCACGGATGCCTCAGCCAGGTCCCAGTAGTGTGAGAGGTTGTACTGCCCCAGGAAGGCCTTTGCTGCAGCAGCATTCCGCAGCGTCTCAACCCTGAACTTCCGAAAGGACGGCTTCAGCACGGTGCCCTGTGGGTGGGATGAGTGCAGGGTCCATTAGGGGGCACAACATGACCGTCAACATGAGGGTGTTTGGGGGAGTCTGTTGTGCGAATGATGGCCAGAAACAGTGGCAGAGCCGGTGCGAGTGCGATGTTGACACCTCCTCCCTCCTTGCCAAGCGTGCCTGTCCATGCTTTGGCATTGCAACAACAAAGCCTCAGCACTCATCCCCCACACCTGCCACACGAGCCGGCAGTAGTTTGGGGCCTTTGGCGCCTCCGCCTCCTCCATGCCCTCCTGCTCGTCCTCCTCCTCTGCGTTCCACTGTATTCGGCGCAGCATCAGCTTCTCATACCTGCGGCACAGGTTATAGCGTGTTTGGAGAAGGGAGAAGAAAGGAAAGGGAACTGTCCTGCAGTCGCAGGGCCTCATCGCAAGACGAGACTCATCCATCCAACCTCTGGACTGCTCCCCCTCCCCCCTCCCTGGCACCCAGCCACACCCCAAGAATACCACGCTGCCGCCCCCTCCACCATCCTCCACTCATACCGAATCATTCACATACCTTCGCTGCGCCTTGGGCGGCCCCTCCACGACCACCAGCGTGAACTCGCCCTCCACAGCCAGACCCACGCCCGTCATGTGGTTCTCCTGCGCGTTCAGGCTGACCTTGAACTTCAGCTGGGGCCGGGCCAGGCTGCCCACCTTGTAAAGCGAGACGGAGGTGGTGGGGTCGGCCTCCGGGTCTCCCAGCAGCTTGCGCAGCTTCTTCTCCCGCGCCTCGGCCGGCGTCAGCTTCCGCGCCAGGTTGCGGTCCTCGTGCGCGGCGGCGCGCTCGCCCATCTGGCGTCGCACCTCCGTCTCGATGGCGGTGGGGTCGGCCGCCGCCTCCTCCCCCAGCACGCGCGACAGGTTGCTGATCTTCACCTTGGGCGGCGGCGGCTCCAGCAGGCCCTGACGGATCAGCTCCTGCTTCTCCTTCTCGCGCGCCTGCCGGTTCTGCGTCCGCATCTTCTTCTTCTCCTGCGCAGGCGACGGTTTGTTTGGGGGGCCCAGGAGGACGGGGTCTGTGGCCTCAGGATCTTGAAAATGGCGAGCCTTGGCAAGAAGTGTGGCGCTGAGGCGCCAAACGATATGCAACCGCTCAACATCCAGACCTGTTGACATGCTCACGCCCAACCGTTGCTGATGCAATTGGGTGAGGCATTGGGTCCAGATCCCCAGACTGCCACTGACTCCCAACCCTCCTCATACCCCTGAACCCCCACTTCCACAGACGCAAACGGACCTTCTTGGTGAGCATGAGGGGCTGGGGCGGCGGCAATGGGGCCTCGCCGGGCGGGTCGATCAGCACCGGGTGCTCGATCAGGTGCGTGATCCGCTCCTCGCGGATGGACGGCTCGCCCTCTGCGGCCGCGCCGTAGCTGGTCTTGTCCGTCAGCAGCCGCGCGTCCCACCACTCCACAGCGGGCACCGGAGCCGGGGCGGGCGAGGCCTCCCGGGGGGGGCGCTCGCCCAGAGGGACCAGGTTCGGGTCTGAAGGGTCGGCCGCCGCGGCCGCCGCCTCGGCGGCCTTGCGTGCTGCCAGCTGGCGCGCTGCTCCCTCGCCATACTCCCTCTGCAATGAGGTGATCGTGTTTTGTGGATGTTTGTGATGTGCGATCCTGGGAAGAGAAGCGCTCGCACGGTCCAGGCTATGATGCCGAGGAGTGCCCAGAGTGTCAGGGGGTGGATCGCGTCAAGGGACCCTTGCAGGACCCCGCCATGCCGGCTCAGCCAGGCAGGCACGGCCCCGAGACACTCTGCAGCATGTAAGCCACCCGGTATGCACAAGACAAAACATAGTACCCTCTCCAACACTTCCCCACCCACCCAGGAGGACCCATACGTCACACAACCCAACCGCATACCCGGAGCCTGGAGATCTCGGCCTGTTTCTGAAACTTGCCCTCCTCGACAAACTGGAGTCCGCCCCGGCGACGCTGGTCCATGCGCCGACCGCCACGGTGCCCGATCTCGGGGTCAAAGAAGGCGCCCTCATCGGCGGGCGCCTCCTCCTCCGCGGTACCCACAGCCGGCTTCTGGCTCCTGCCAGCTCCTGGCTCCGCAACTGCAGGTGCTTGCTCTTGGCGCGGCGCTGGGGTGCTCGCCGCGGCGGCGGCAGCGGCCTGTGCCTTCTTGGCTGCAGCCAGAAACTCCTTCTTCTGCTGCAGGGTCCTCTTAGCCCGCTCCAGGATCTCCAGCTTCAAGGACAGCTTGGCGGGTGCATCGGCTTCAGTCTCGTCCACACGAGGACGCTTGGCAGTCTCGGAGGGCTCTGCCAACCCCTCCTCCGCCTTGCGCTTGTCAGAGGATGCCATCGCTGGGGCCGTGCACGACACCTCTTGGTTCGAATGCACCTGCCCGTGATATTAAATGCTGCGCTTTTGAAGGATCAGGGATGCATTGCCATAGGCTGATGCTGTCAGGCACCGTCCTGCCTGCGAAAGTGAGCGTGACTCGATGGAAGGGAACGGCGAGCAGGTCGAGGTGCTCTCTAATCGGTCCAGCGGGGTGTCGGGACCACGAAATATATTCGATAGTAACCTGGAGATGTTGGGTATTGTACCTGCCTTCTACTGGTCTTCTGGAGCATTGATCCCCCGGACCTGGCGCCCGATTCGTGTCCCAAGCGGGGGCCCCAGGGTAGTGCCTTGAGAATTGTGAGGGATGATGCTGGTTCTCCACGCGTTGGTAATCTCCACCATGGCATTTACAACAAGAAAGATACATTGGGTCAACTTGAACACATTCAGGCGTGTGGCATGGCTATGATCATGGGAAGATTTCAAGGCATAAGCCAGGGGTAAAGGCAGATTTGTGTACATTGGAAGAAGGGATCGAGCTGGGAGATTCAGCATGCCACTCTGCCGCCAGTCACTGCTCAGCGGCCCACACATCGTCGTTGGGGTTTTGCAGCCTGCCCGAGTGGTAGTCGGCAAAGGCCTGCTGGATCTCCAGCTCGTGATTCATCACAAACGGCCCGTACTGGATCACCTTCTCACCGATGGGCTTGCCAAAGGCCAGCAGGAACTTGAGTGGCCTGTCCTCAGCCGCCCGCGCAATCACCGTGCTGCCCTCGTTGCCAAACACCTGCAGATTCTCCACGGCCGCTGGGCTGCCCCCGATCCTGCCGGCGCCCTCGTAGACGTAGGAGAAGCCGTTCCAGTCCGGGGTGACCTCCGTGCTCCACTCCGCCCCGGGCTCCAGCCGCACATCCAGCAACAGGCCCGGGTTGCGCAGGGTCAGGGGCCCCGCGGTGGCGCCCACGCTGCCTGCCATGACACGCACGCTGTGCCCGGGTCCCTCCACGGCCGGGATGGCGTCGGCCTGCACGTCCTGGTACCGCGGCTTCACCATCTTGTCCTTGGCGGGGAGGTTGATCCAGAGCTGGAACCTGTCGAAGTGGTGTTGGGGTGGGGAAGTGGGGGGTCCGGTCATTCTCAGTGCAACGCATGCCGTTAGTCAACCATGCCGCCGAATTGTATGAGGAGTAGCTAGTTGCAGGGCGTTTCGGAATGCACGATGCGACACTCTGCACACCAACTCTTCCTCCCTGTTGTTTGGAGCATAGGGCCCCAGCTGCTCAGCAGTTCCCAACCCACCCCCTTCCCCCCAGGCTCACCCGTGCAGCATGCCCTCGGTGACCTTTGGCATCTCGGAGTGCACGATGCCACGCCCGGCGGTCATCCACTGCACCCCCCCAGGGCCGATGACGCCGTGGTTTCCATAGGAATCGCGGTGCTCCATCTTCCCAGACAGCATGATGGAGCAGGTCTCAAAGCCACGGTGGGGGTGGTCCGGGAACCCGGCGCTTGCCTCATGCGCCGGCATCTTCAGCTCATCCAGCATGAGGAAGGGGTCCAGGTTGCGGAGGTGGCCCGTGCCGATGGTGCGGCAGATGCGCACGCCTGCTCGAGGAGCGGGATGATAGGGTGAAGTGGGGCGGGTGGAAGTGGGATGTGATTCGTGGGGAATGCTGGAGCGCAGGGAGCAAGCACTGCTCAAGGGAGTGTGGTACAACCTTGGCTGAGTGCACAGGTTTGCCTCGGCATCCATACTCATCAGCCAGCCACCAGGGCTTCGCTCAGAACCCCCCTCCCCCCCCCCACTTCAAGCAGAGAATCCTGATGCTTCCGCGCACCTGCGCCTTCCATCTGCTTGGTGCCGCGCACGATCTTGGAAACTGCACGAGGTGCGGCAGTCATGGCGGGTGCGGACGCGGTGGTGGGCTTGGAAATGGGTGCCGGACGACGGTGGGGGGCGACGGGGGGAAGGGTTGAGCCCAGGAGAAGGCCGCCGGTCAGACAAGCCAGGATGAAGGCTGTGGGGGAACAATCGAGGGGGTTCGAGTGAGCGACGGGACCTGTCGGGATCCCCGAACAAAGCGGCAACACTCCCGACGTCCTCCTCGGTTACAGGTGAAGCACTCCTCCCTTTAAATCCCACTACGCTGTCAATACCGCGCCACCCACTATACATGACATCATCCCTCACCTATCACAAGGGGCTTAGTCGGCCCAATGATTCGCACGGATATATGTCAGTGAAAACTGAAGTGAGCTTGCGGCAACGATAGGAAGTAAACAGGGATCGATACGACTTTCCAAAGTGACTCTGTATATATACACGAAAATTTTCCTCTTCTAGATACGCCGATAATCGATGCTGAGGAACCCGAGGGCACTTATACCTACAGGGGCTTTCGGTGACGTGATGTTGGGATTGCTCCATGAAAGGGCTTACATAAT